GGAAGGAAGGAAGGAAGGGGAAAGGGGAAGGGAAGGGAAGGGAAGAACTGAGGAAAGGAAGCAGGAACTAAGCCTTAGGAAACATCTGCTGGGACCGTGCCAGGCACCATGCTAGGTTTAGTCTGATGCTAATTGTTTCAGCAAAGCTAATTTTCATGACAGTTCTACAAACTGAGTTGCTGTCCACTTCTACAGATGAAGAAATTCAAGCTGAGGGCTGGGGATTTAGGTTCCACCAACTGCCGCTTGCAAGGTCCCAAGTTCAATCCCTGGTACCCGCCCCCGCCAAAAAAAATCAGGCTGAAAGAGTGTAAGAAATATGCTTCAGGTCAGGGTGAGTCTGAGTGGAGCCTGGCTTCAGCTGTGGCTCTAGCTGGCCAGCACCACATGCTCCATCTAGGGGAGTGGACATTCCTCTCCAAGTACCTGCCTGAGGCTTGCAAATCTAGGGGCCAAGGCTCCAGCCTGCTCGCCTGTCCCTGTGGTGCCCAGCTCAGCCTCATGGCCCATGTGTGCGCAATTTAAAGACTTAGCAAGAGCAGCCATATCTTCCTGCTGTCATCGCAGGCTGAGACGGGTGGGCTTGTAAACAGCCCTGCAGCCAGACCCATGTCTTCACTCTCTCCTCCCCAGCTCTGCTCTTGGAGCCGGGCAAGACTGTCTCCCATAATTTGTTTGCCTTTACTGAGACCTCCTTGGAGGTGCCCAGCAGCTGACAGGAGGAGTTAGGAGGGCAGGCTGCAGCCAGGGGTCCTTTGTTCCTTTCCCCACTCTGTGAGCAGTGAGGATACAGCAGTTGATGTCCAGGACCAAAGTCAAGGGCCAGAGTCATGATAAAGCCAAAGCATTTGCCAGGGGCCAGTTGGAATCATCCTGAATTCCAGGGAGTCTGACTTCGAAGAAGAATGCCTGTGAAGCATAAAGGGCAGGTATGACTAACTTTTCTGGTGAGAAAATAATGCTGCATTTTGTCCAGAATTTCTCCTATGAAGCCAGGCTGACTGGGATTGTAATCTTATGTCCATCCACCAGTTGGGTGATATGAGACACGTTTCTTACGTATCTGTGCCGTAGTATGCTCATCTGTAAAATGGGAATAAGAAGCCAGGTGTGATTGTGCATGCCTGTAATCCTACCACTCTGTGAGGCTGAGGCAAGAGGGTGGCAGGTTTGAGCCCAATTTGGGCAATTTATAGACTTAGCAAGGTTGAAAATAAAAACTTGAAAAGGGGCTGCAGATGTAGTTCAGTACAAAGCCTTTGGCTCAATCCCTAGTACTGAAAAAAAAAAGGGGGGTAAGAATAATAAGTACTCCAGGCCAGGCACACTCTGCTGTGTTATCTTTGGTGTTTTGTTGTTTTTTTTTTAATTTGAGACAGGGTCTCACTATGTAGTTGAGACTGACCTGGAACTCACTATGTAGCCTGGGCTGGTCTCAAACTCACAGCAATCCTCCTGCCTCAGCCTCCAGAGTGCTGGGATTACAGGCGTGCGCCACCACGCCCAGCTTCTAACATGGTTTTTCTTATATGAGAAAATCAATATATAAATAAAGTGCAAAATAAAAGACGGGTGATACAAAAAAAGAGAGAAAAGTTATTGTAATCCAGCGTGGACAATGTATCTAAAAGTGTACCTTGATTTAATGTAATCATCTTATGTGTTTTATATATTTTTGGCCTATTAGTCTACTTATTAATGCATATGTTTTATAATAATTAACTTTGTAAGGACTTATAAAATAAATAAATGAATCTGATGCTGGCCAAATGGGAAGTAGAGGAGAAAAGAATTAAGGTGTATTACATACATGTACCAATTCTCCACAATGAAATAATCATTATGTATTGCAAGCATGTATTAATAAAAAATCAAGATTTTTTTCTTAAGTAAAGATTTTTTTAAAAGACTAATAAGTACCTCCAAGAGCTGTTATTAAGTTAATATATTTGTAAAACCTTTATAATAGAGCCTGGTCTGTAGTAAGTGTTATTTTGGTACCAAACCCAGGTCTAGAAGCTCACACCATAAAAAACTAATGTCCGAGAGACAAGTGCTGAGGAGAAGGAAGGATCTTTATTCAGGAGCCAAAGAATGGAGACGTGGGAACTTTGCTCACCCACCAACTTCTCAACTCCAAGAAGTTGAAGGGTCAAAGAGGACAGGAATAAGGAAAAAGAGACATAGGTTAATAAACGGAAGAGATGTTCCTGTCTGTTCTGGAACAGTGGAGATTTTCCAGGAATTCAGGTGCCACCTTTTTCTGCTCCTTTCATGGCCTTGGTGTTTCTGGCCATGGCAGCTGGTAGCTGTCTTTTATCTTTAACAGCAGAGAGAGACTAGGCAAGTCTAGATCGAGTTAACCTTGTATCTTAGTTCTGGACAAAAGGTTTCCCAGATGTTCAACATGTCTACAAGCAGAGCTGAGGGGAATCTGACCCAAAGGCTAAGGCAGCAAAAGACAGAACCAATATGAAAGCAGAGATGCCAAGCCTTTCCATTCTGCCTGAGGAACCCATCTGACCTTGGCAGGTCCAAGGGAAGAGCCAGTGCCTTCAGCAATGCAGCCCTCAGGTCTAGAAAAGTAACCTAGGCAGCTGCTACAGTCGTACCACCTACCGACCCGCCGCCACACCGCCAACTCAGAGGGGCTATTTACAGCGAAGCTGTTGGGAAACTAATGATGTGTTGACCAGCTGTGCGACCTCAGAAATTAGTGATTTTTAAGTCAAGTTTGAGCAAGTGAAGCTAGAGGGTTTTGTAAGTTTTCCCTTTGTTACAATTTCAATTTTTGTTATTGCTGTTTGTTTGCATTTGCACAGTGCCCATACTGTTCCAGGTGCTGGGCTTGGCACTAGAGACATAGCAAAGATGAAGAAGACAAGGTCCTTGTCCTCACATAGCTTACACTTAACTTCAGTGGAGAGACAGGCAAGCAACCAGACAGTCACAACTCAGCATATGAAGTGCTGGGACCTGGAAAGGCCAGTGCACGCTGGGAGCACACAGAGGGGTGCCCCCTCCCCCATCACTGTGAATAACATAGCTCAGGGCTGCGGAATTCTCACTCCAGGCCACAAGACTGTCTAATTTCTGCTTGCTTTCTCCCAAAGGGGATTTGAGCTGATTTTCTGACTTGATCTTACAGAAGCTGGGAAGCAGCCCTCTTGACTGCCTATGGCTGGTGTGAGCAGGGGCACTGATAGCCCTAATTTGAGGTAGAGTTATTGGCCAAAATGGCATTCACCAGGGCCAGGGATTTAACTCAGTGGTTCCACTACCTGCCTCACAAGTGCAAGGACCCGAGTTTGGTCCCCAGTACCAAAAAAAGAAAAAGGCGTTCACCAGACAGTGGCTTTCAGTTATTTCTCTTTAGAAGATGCTTTGACAAAGCATTGCCCATCCAAACCTTTCTCTTCAGCCCAAGAGGAGCACAGAGTCCTCTTCCAAAGGAAGAAAAACTACCTATTGCTGTGTTGTAGTAGTGCATGCCTGTGACCCCAGCTACTAGGGAGGCCGAGGCAGAAGGACTGCAAGTTCAAGGCCGGCCTGGGCAACTCAATGAGATCTTGTCTTTTAAGTTTAAAAAAAAAAAGAGGTGAGATATAACTACTGGGTTCAATCAATCCCCAGTAGTACAAAAAGAAAGAAGAAAGGAGAAGAAAAAGAAAGAAGAGAAAAGAAAAGAACAAGGAAAAGCACATTTTCCAGACTAAGAAACAGCTGTGGCCCCTAAACTTAATTCATCCCAGTTTTTTTCAGGTGCCAGAAGCTGGTTCCCCTCTCACTTCCAGCTCTATCCAAGTTCTCTGCTGCTACTCTCTTCATCACTGAAGAAGCAAAGACCTTTTGCCTAACTTCCACCACCTCTTGACATCAGCAGAGGTGATGCCACCCCGCCTACTGGCTCATCCTAATCTCCCTGACTTCTCTCTGTCCTTTCTGTCTGTCTCTTTGTGTGGTGCCTCTCTTGCCCTCCCTCTGTGTGTGTGTGTTTTTGTGGCCAGAGGCCTGGATTCAACCCTGTCTGAGCTCCAGTCAGCTTCCTTACCTGGGCAAGATCTTTACCCTCTCTGGGCCTTGCTTTTGGTCCTTGATGTTTCATCTGTAGAATGGAGATAAGGAATGCTGCCTTCAAGAGTTATTGTGAGACACAGGCAGGGTAACATGCCCCAGAGCCTTGCAACTCTGAAGTGGTAGGCAGTGTTGACTTGCTATCACTCCTCAGCCCTTGGGCAACTGCCCTGCATTATTCTTTCCCTCCTCATAATGTACGTGGGTTGTATCTAATCAGCTCATTTTCTTTCTTTCTTTCTTTCTTTTGGGTACCCGCAGTCGAAACTCAGGACCTTGAGCTTGCGAGGCAAGTGGCAGAACCACCGAGCTAAATGTATGGCCTCTAATCACCTCATTTTCTGCATCTCTCAGTGTCTCCTCCTCTCTGTCCCTCAGTTCAGACCCCAGGACAGGGGCCCAGATGCTTCTGCCTCAATCTCAGTGTTTTCAGAGTCTGCCTTTACCTCCACAAGAGGGGTCCGCTAGGTGGACCATGCAAACCCGGAGCAAGACAGGCCATGGCAGGAAACCTCCAGCCCCAGCCCCTGGTAACCGTTACAGTCTCTGCTTCTGTGGATTCACCCTTTTCAGAGTCCACATAGAAGTGAGAAGTGCTGGGCTGGGATTTAGCTCAGTGGTTCCGCTGCCTGCCTCGCAAGCTCAAGGACCCTAGTTTGATCCCCACTACCAAAAAAAGAGAGAAATGCTGCATCTGTCTTTCTGTGCTTATTGTACTCAATATCATGGATAATAAAAACAAGGAGAGCTGAGAAGAGCTTACTGAGGGCCAGGTGTTACACCTGCCCGGGGTGATGGCCTGGGGGACGATAGGCTCAGAGCTGCTGAGGGAGCCGGACATCCACATCGCACCCCACTTCCCAGTGTGGGTACCTAGGAGCCCAGGGCTGCTCCAGTGCAGACCTGTCTGTGTCTACCCTCTTCAGCCTCCCCGGTGATGGAAGACGGCCAGCTGGACTGTCCCCTGGGGTACAAGAGACTGAACGTCACTCACTGTCAAGGTAAGGATATCTGGGCAGAGCTGGGCTTGGGAAGGGGACGTGAAGAGGCCTGCTGATGCAGGGGTGACACCACCCCCGAAAAGAGGAACATCTGTCACTGCCTGGCAGCCTCCGCTAGGCACCGCTAAGCGCACGCCACGCGCGTGGGGAGCTGTCCCAGGGGTTAAGGAAGTCAGGGCCTTGTCTGAGAGTGATGGAGTGAGCCAAGGCAACCAAGCCCCGCTTCCTCCCCATCTTTACCTCCCCGACTCAGAGCATGGCCAGGTGCTTCTTCAAACTGTGCTGTGTCTGCCTGTCCTCATGCATCTGTTCACCTCCCAGGCACATCTGGTCTCCCCGAAATGGGAGGGGTTCCCACCAAGGCAGGAGCTCAAGTCAGCCTGAGTTGGAATGCACCTCTGTGGGATTTTCCGACAGAGTAGCAGCTCTTGCCTTCCTCCCACCTGCCTCAACCCACAGCTAGCAAAGGGCAAGCGGTGGGTGCAGGTGGCAGAATGGGGTGCCAGGAAGCCCACCCCTGCCCTGGCTTTGGCTGGCCTAATAGCTCTGTAGACCAGCTGAAGTTGGGGTGATCTGCATTAGAGGGGCCAGGCCCAGGGCGTTTTGGGACAAGGGGTAGAGGAGGAGCTCAGTGGTGGTTTCTCACTGCTGGAGGTTAGGGCAGGTGGGGTGGAACCACTTCACCGAAGAGCAGCTGCGCCACTGAGCAGACACAGGAGCTCTTCTGGACTGAGGGCCTATGTGATACGCAGAGGCCTCCCGCTAGGAAGGGGTTCCTGGGGCTGGCACAGCCAGCGAGGAGCTGAGACAGCTTCCTTTTGGAGCCCTTCCATGAGCCAACAGGTAGATGTCTGCATGGTTTGCTTTGGGTGAAGCTGGCTCGGAGGCAGGGATTGCCCCAGATGGCCTCCTAGTACCCTCTCCCAGATGTTTCTTCAGGAGCAAATAGCCTGAGGAAGCCTTCTGGCTGCCTCTCTACCTTTGGAGTACTAGGCAGCTGAAGGGATTTCAAGTCTGTGGATAAGAAAAGGTGCTTGAACCAGGCAAAAGGGCAGGCCTTAGCTCAGTGGTTCTGTCACCTGCCTCAAAAGCGCAAGGTCCCAAGTTCAATCCCCAGGACCAAAAGCGGGGGTGCAGGCCTTAGGCCCAGCCTCGCCAGGGTCAGACTCTGAAGGTGACTAGTGAGGAGGTGGTGTGGTGAGATCTGTTTGCGCCTCCACTGGGCTGGAGGATGGATGCTGCCTACCGGAGGGGG